TGAATTATAGGTATTATGACAAATTTCTGGCAGATGGCAATAAAGGCTCTTGTTATAATAGAAAATTGTACATTTTGACAATTTTTCAAGAGATGGCAGTTATGTGTCTGGGGGGATAGATACCCTTTCCTAACCCAGCACAAAGGTACTATATGGACCAACAGCAGCTCTGAGCACAGGTCTGAAAATCTGGTGGCTTTGATTTTCCCCAGGAAATAGATGAATTTTATCAGCATGAGGGGATCAGAGGGTGGGGGAGAGAGGAGCAAGTATTTGGTGGTCACTGCAGATACTTGGAAGGAGGGCTGATCAAGGAAACATGGGCAGTGAAATTATTTGGTGGCTCCAATCTGCTAGAAGTAGGATGTCCTCATAGGTGTGGAGGTGGATGAGCCTTAGAGACACACATGTGAGTACATGTGTAAGTATATGTAGAGATTATGTGTACATATCAGTGTGTATGTGTTTTTATGTATGTTTTCATACCATATATAGGTCTAAGGGTGCAAAAACTTTATATATGTCTGAAAGTAGGTGCATATATGCATACATGCCTGGGTAGGTGATACCTTTTTGAGTGTTTTGGTTTGGGCTAAAGTCCTAATTGAGAATAATTGAAGCTCTACATTCCTACATTTAAAGCCAAATGCTGAATCATCCATGTGGGCTGTGCTGGGTGATGGGGTAGATTGTGACTGACTGAAATTTTGGCCTCAAGTCGCAATCTTTTCCTAAATTCATGCCTTTTGCTATGTAACTGCAGCTTCCCCCACAAAAGGTGGAGTATATTTCTCTTGACCTTGGCCTTGGATTCACGTGAGTTACTTTAACCAACCAAATATAAGCAAGTGTAACAGAGACTTGAAAAGTGCTTGCAAAGTGGAGTTTGTCCTTTTTGCTCCTGCCGCCACCACAAGAAGAGCAGGTCCTGGCCAGGGCAGTGATTCCAGAAGGAGGATGCAGGACATGCAGAACAGAACCAGACAACATGAACACTCACGAGTAAGAACGGATGTATATTATTGTGTGCCACTGAAACTATGTCCTTGTTCGTTAGGCAGCATTATTGTGATAACAGCTGGCAGATAAAGACATTGGTACCAAGAGTAGAGTGTGTTAGTAACAAAAATATGTACCATTGCCTCTGAGACCAAGGGGTGAGCAGTAGGTAAAATGTTACAGTAGGCTTGAAAAAAGGTGACCCATATTATGTAGAGATGAAATGCTTCATAAAACTGTCAATCTACAGTAACTTGAAGAGAGTACATGGATTTGGGCAAGATAGTGCCCAGGTAAGATGTTGAAAGCAAAAGTTGGTTCCTTTGGGTTGTATTTGATACGGACTTACAGAAGGAAAATTCATAAAAGAAATAGGGACCTGGCAGGTAGCCCAGTTGGTTAGAGCATCATTGTCCCAATACACCAAGGTTGCAGGTTCGATCACCAGTCAGGGCGCATATAAGGATCAACGAATGAATGCAAAAATGGGTGGGGGAGCAGATCAGTGTTTTTCTCTTTCCTATCCTCTAAAAATCAATAAAAACAACAACAACAAAAGAAGTAGAGAGTGTTAAAGGGTAGAGTGTGTTTCGAGGGAATATAGAGGGCCTAGAACTTGTTGAATTGGAAAATAAATCTATCAACTCCCGTCTCTTCTGCTATTAAATCATTCTCAAATTAAGATACAGATCAAACTAAGGACAAAGGACAAAGGTCAAACCAAGGTTATGACCAGTTAAGATATAACCTGTGGACCAGATCAAATCAAGGGTATGGTTGTAACATCTTTTATTAGTATTACAAAATAACAAGTAGATGCTCTCAGCTGCTCAAAGGGGCTTCCAGAAAGCTTAGAGGTCCACAGAAGACTAATGTACCTGAAGTAGTCATAACTGAATCTAGAGAGACTGGCCTGACTCAAAAACAATGGTGGGTATGGTTTTGGCACACGGTATTAAGTGGAATCAAATACATAGAAAACTCATAAAGTGTCTGAGGTAGGGTGTGGCCAAAACTAGAATCAGCTTAGGCAGAAGGGACTGAGACCATTCAAGATATAAAAAGATACCTGGTTCCCTAACTCTCTTCAGGGAGAAAGCAGGCTAAGAAAGCTGTTTAGCTGTCCAAAGGGCACATTCTTCAGTGGTCTCTTCAGAAGTGGCCAAAAAGACAATGGAAAAGGAAGGGTTTTCAGAGAGCAGAGCCAAAAACTCCCAAGAACGATGGATTAGTGAGTCAACCCCAGGGGGTACAGCTTGGGCCTAGTCAAGGGAAATTTCCTGTCTGAGAGTGTTCATCTGACATTTGCCCAGAAGGACTTCAGAACTGCCATGGATCAGTAAGTCTTTGAATTTCTTCTCTGTCTTTCTGAACAGGAGTGTGAATTGCAATTATCCTGTCGCTGTTTCAGCAATGTATGCTGAGTGTGTGGGGAGCTGGGGGTGGGAGGTGGATAATTTTCTCTTTAGATTTTAGGTCACTCGATCAAGAGAAGTCACATCCAGATCTGGCATAGATCATGAGATCTTCATGTTATGATTGCATGAGACTTTGGGGTTCTTGAGGATAAGCATATTTTCTAAATCAATATGGCCAAGAGAGTGGTCTGTAGTAGATTGACTTAGTGACTCCGATTCTTCACTCCTCCCTGTAACTAAACCCCTAAACCCTTTGCCATATAAATACAATTTCTCACAAAAAGGTGAGAGTGTAGTCCTCCATCCCTTGTCTTTGTGCTCAGTCATATGATTTGTTTTAGCCAATAGAATTTTAGCAGATATTATGCAAGCAGGGGGCTTGGAATGTGCCTGTATAGTTAGGCTTGCTCTCTGGTGCCTCTGCCATCACCATGAGAACACGTCCTGGCTAGGCCACTGATCCCTTTGGCCTCAGCAGCAGAGCTGTCCCAGATGATTCACAAACTTGGGAGCAAAAAATAAATGTTAACTGTTGTACTACACTGCTGTCATGGTTGTTTGTTATGCAGTATGACTCTAGAAATAGCTAACCAATACAGGAACCTAAACAGTTCTGAGACTTGTAGCCCATCCCCCATCCTCAGTTCATTCATGAGTGATTGGGGTTGGGAGAGATTAGTGAATGAGAGTTTATTTGAAGAAAATTGCTGGGGTGCTACATATGTCCCCCTCAGCCCACTTCATACTTACAGGACTTCTCATGGGCCTGGTGATGCAGGAAATCTAATCCTTTATCTGAGGCTCCAACGGGACTGTAGAAGACTGCCTAGGACAGCGTGGCAGGCATCCCCGGGATTTAGAGGCCATAGGACCTGGGCACCAATACCTGCTTGGGGACCTCTAAAATGGAGAGGCTGGCAGTGCTACCTGCGTGGGATAGCAGGTCTAGAAGGAAGGCTGTAGCAGATCACCCCGTACTTTCAGTGTGCCGCAGAGCAAAGGCCTCATTTCACACAGGTTATATGGGAGTCAAGGAAGGAAGTAGGCCTGGAGTTGTCTTCAGAGAATTTTGCCCCAGATGGCTGCCTGGCAGGGCCAGGTCCCTTAGGAAAAAAACGCTGAATAGGGAGGAGGGGGACCAGTGGATAGAGGAGCTGAGGGGGAATAAGAAGCAATGGGTTGGAGGAAGATCGTCTATGCCAGGAAAGGAGGCACCATGTGGGCTCTGCAGGACGGGAGAAGCTCCAAAACTACCACCTAGGAGGAAGAGTCGGCATATGGCATCTGTCATACAGAAAGCCCTGATGCCAGGCAACACCTGTACTAGCGACCTCCCCCTCCCACCTGGAGGGACTAGAAACAGCCACTAGTAAACTAGGAACAGAGGAGACACTGATCACCATGCCCAACTGCAGGTGCATGAGATGTTGAGGTAGAAGAAACTGAAGTTTGAAATGAGACTAGACTGGACTCTTACTACCTGAAAACGATACTGTTCCTTAAGGTCTAAAAATCACTAGAGAAGCTCAAGGATCTGCCCATATCACCCAGGCAATAGTGAAACACAGTAGTTTCTTGACTTGCTCTCCTGAAAGACCAGTTCATTCAGTGAATAAGCTGGTTTCCTTATGTGTTGTACATACGATCCACAGGGTTCAGATTCATTTATGAACATCAAACACTAACTGAGTACTTGAAACAGCTGTCTCTTTTTCAACAACAATCCAACCCCAATTGCCTTCAATTGTTAGGAAGCTCAGGGTCAAGTCTGAAACCAGTGGTAACAGCTACCACTTGTCAGCTCCTACTGTGTGCAAGGCCCTGAAAAACACTAACAAACACTTCCTACGCTAAGTCTTTTAAGTTTCAACTCCCCAAGAGCCCCCTGGGGTCTGGCTTACGCCCCAATTCAATTATAGGTGGGAAACTGTGGCTCAGGAAGGAAAACCAGCTAGCCAGCTAGCTCAAAGCTCTCTCTCTCTTCTAAACCAGATATTGTGCTATGATTTTCCTTGGTCTTGATTTTGTTTGATTTTCATGGCTTGCTCTGTGACACAGGGTCCTCTTTTTTCTCTGATATTGCATGGGTTATCTTCAGAGAATTTAGAACAAGTATTGGAAAGGATAGTTTGTCCCCGATTCTGAATATGATAAAAATCTGCGAGTTCACTCCTTTGAGAGGCTCAATGTAGATCCCATCCTCTCCCTGAAGGCTCTGCCTTCCCTTTAGGTTGCTGTCCTCCCTGCATGTTTGCCTACTTTAATCCAAGCAGGTACATAGAAGTGTGAGCCTGGCCCACCAGTAGGTGGCTGTTCTGAGCCAGGGTCTGGACAGCCAGGGGCAACCAGGTGCTATCCCACAAGCCAGAACCTTCACCAGCCCCCTCATCCAGCCACCAGCAGTGGCCAGCGCCTCTGTGACCCCCATTTGAGTACCAGTTCCCCAGTTGGTCAAAATTTCAGCCCAAGGCCTCCCTAGCATTTCCCGCTGGCTACCCTCCTCCGCCCCCACCCCCTAACAAAACAAAACAAAACAAAACAAAACAAAACAAAACAAAACCCCTCCCCCAACATGGTACTCACTCGGAAGCGTGCGACTGTTGCTGAGGCTACTGGTGCTGGGCGGTGGGGAGAGGGACTGCAGGGAGACACTGTCCTCCTCTTGCGAGCAGCCCGCCTGGATGGCGCGCAGATAGCTGTGGCTGCGGGAGCGGAAGTAGCTCGGCAGCGGCAGGTCCAGTGCCTCCGCTGCTGTCGACTCTGCTTCGCTGCAGGCCGACTCGCAGGCTGCCTCGTACTGGTCGCTCAGATCTGCTTCCCGTACCTGTCCAGGCAAAGGCAGGCGTCAGGGGCCAGCTTTGCCCATCCTAAAGCGACAGGAACTTTGTGGCCGGCTCAGCCGCAGGAAGTCTCTGGATCCTCAACTCTGCCCACCTCCCCTCCGTCTCACTCAGAATGGGATGAGCAGATGAAGCCCTTGGAGATACGCACCCTTCTCACCTCTCTGGGCCTCACTTTTCCCATCTCTACAATGGAGGAGAAACTATTAAGGATAGTTTCTAGGATATTAACTAGATTGTATCTATTTGTCTCTACTGATGGACTGATAGATTTTGAGGTCACACCTGAATTCAGTGGGAAAGAAGGCTGTAATCAATTAGTAATGTCTGCCCAGAATGTTGGAATGGCCGTGCCAATAGGTATGCTAGATAATTTACTATCTTACAATGTATAGATATTTACCATCTATAAAATGAAGGCTAGTTATAGGCCAAATTTTATAGGATTCAGAGTAAGTGAGATAATTAATACCATGTACAGTGTAGTGAAGACACTTACCAAGGGTACCCAGTGAGTAAGCGACAGAATCAAACACTCCACGTGTGTATTTAAGGAAGGTTAATCTAGCCCTGGTATGCAGAATGGATATTAGGGAGGGGGTCTGGAATGGAGGCCAAGGCCGGAGATGCAATAGTCTGGTGAGAGAACGTATGACTGGATGAGGGTAGTGGCAGTGAGGATGGAGAATGGCAGCATGGCTATTTGCCACCTCGCATCTAATTCCGCCTCATTTAAATGGCTTCTAAGTGTCCCTGCAGAGATGACCAACGAAGATCCTACAAATCTGCAGCTGGAAGTGTGAGCATAGAGGGACCTCACCATACACACACTCTCCAAGGGTTCTAGAAGGGTCTGTCTGACTCATGTTTCAGGCCATGTTGATAACTGGGGATGAGAGAATATAAACCAAGATGTCAGCTGGCCAAAAATGGACACTGGGCAGAGGTCGTGGGGGAGGCTTTGGGTCTGTGGGGGCGGGGCAGGAGTTGACTGAGCACTGTGAGGAGGAAAGGACGGAGCTGGGCCTGGGGCCAGCTCTGCTCTGGACTAAGCTGTGTGACCTCAGGCTATCACTATCCTCTGGGTCAGTGTTTCTTCATCTAAATGAAATGAAATGCCTGTGTACTTGTCTGACACTGCATCAAGTAAAACGACTATGAATCATCACCTAATTTGGAGCATATGTTTGGGAAGGTCTAAATCTGTGCTGTCCAATTTGGTAGTAACTAACCATGTGTGGCTATTTAGGTATAAATTAATTAAAATTAAATAAAAGATTCATTTCCTTACTCACGTTTCACTTGCTCATGCTACCTTATCGGGCAGCATGGATTCCAGAACATTTCTCTCATGGCAGAAAGTTCTATCGGACATTATTGATAAATTAAAAGGCAGTGTGGCATAGTCAAAATTCACTTGGAGGGGATATTAAAGAGATAGGTGTTTCCAAAGCTGTCGCCTCAAGGATAGTGAGAGGTGCTTGTGACTGCAAAGGGCAATGAGGTCTCGCTTTGGGATCACACAGTAACGGCACAGCACTGGAATGGGAGGGACTGTCGGGGTTTCAGTCCCTGGTTCATCATTTCTTCACAACGTGAATGTGGGAAAGTCACTTAACTCCTCTGCATCTCACAGCAGTATAGAGACCAAACTTTATAGGGTTATTGTCAAGATTAAGTGAGATAATTCCCACCACAAACTTAGAATAGTGTCTGGGAGAGTAAACGCCTGCTAACCTGTGCCTAGTATCACAGGCAGCTCCGTGGGGTGAGTGCAAGGACTTGTAAATGTTGGTTAGGATGCACCCAAGCTCTGGCAGGGGTGGGGGCAGTCACCTGAAAGTGCTGCTGGCATGTGTACCACTGAGGACACACCGTGTGCAAGGAACTTGGTATGTGAACATATCACATCCTTACCATGAGTCTGTTGAAGTAAAAGGAAAAATAGGTTTCCTGGCCCACTGTGGATTCCCCCAAAGACTTTCTGGAATATTATCATCAAGAGGCACTGTGACAGGAGGGTGGGGGGCACATAAGGCACCCGCCTCCGGCATCAGGAAATGTGGGGCCAATCCTACTTTGTTTTGCTCCTGTAGGACATATGGCCTCAGACAAGTACATTGACCAATGAGGGATCGAACTCAGAGAACCTCTTCTGCTCTACTTTCTGGTCTTGGGGCTGGAACCCGGGAGGGGGGAGAGGGCCACATCGAGGGGCAGGATAAGTGTGCATGGGTGGGGGGCTCCCTTTGGGCAGCCAGATGGTTCCAACCTGTACCACCTACCTTAACTTTTATAAAATCAAAAAGTCTCTGCAATCAGAAAGTCCCAACAGCCCAACATCCTTAAAGGCCCCAAAAGGGGAAAAGTCAGGGGACCTGGGGGCTGGGACCTGGAGGTCAATACCACCCGCCCCCAGCCGGCTCAAATAAAATAGTCATCCCAGGATTTTGACAGTGTTGGGGGAGGTAAGAAGGGAGGAAGCCAAAAGACTCTCAGGGAATGCTTTCCCTTATCCTGGGGTTATTTCTTATCCCATTCATAGAACCTCATTCATCCTTTCCAATTTTTGGGAAGAGGAAATTGAGGCACATAGAAATGAAGCAATAGGGCTAGGGAGTGGAAGGTCAGGGTACCAACACGAACCTAGACTCCACCCTCATTGGAGGGGGCTTTCCTGTTCTGGCTCTGCTTGTACCTGCCCGGGCTGGGAGGTAGATGTCACTCAGATGCCAGGAGTAAAACCCAGCCCTAAATTCTGGGATTGGGGTACGAAAGAATGGCAAACATACTGACCTGCTGCTCATGACCAAACAACTGGGGGATCAAGGAGGCCTGTCCAAAAATCTGCAGAAAGAGAGGGAGGGGGTAGGTTATGGGGAGACCAAGGCTGGGGCTGAGGTTGGTTGCTCAGGCTCGGCTGCAAGAGAACTTGTGGCTGACTGGTCTAACCTCCTCAGACTGGCTGAGGCCTAGGTGCTAGGTCTCACTTGGCTTTCTCCAGGGATGGGAGGCTCACTCCTTCTAGGGCTGAGCATTGCTGAGGATTTATAATCTGCTGCTTACAGGTTTTCCTCTTGGTCCGGCCCCTGGCACCATGGATGCTCTGTCTGCTGCCTCTTACCCAGGATCTACAGATTAGGGACAGAGACTTCTCTTCCCTGGTCAGGGCCTGCGAAGTCCAATGGCTGGTGGGAGGGGGGCTCCTTCTGGCCAGATTCAAGGTATCTCTGAGGCCTAGAGTGACCTGAGGCTAGAGCTGGCACATCTCTGACTTTGGGACCCCATATGTGACTCAGGTCACTCAAGCTTCTGGGAGTGAAGGTGTGGGGGTTCAAAGGACCCTGGGCTAGGACAGAGCTGGGGATGGGCAGGGGGTAATAGGAGAGACCTGCTGGGGTCCCCAGCCTGGCTGATAACATGTGCCTTTTGTATAGCCAAAGGACAAATGTGATCCAGGTGCCAGGGCCAGGTAGGGGACAGAGATGGGTGTGAGAGAGAGAGAAACAGCTAGACCCAGAGAGAAACGTGGAAATGAGACATACTGCAGAGGCAGAGACGGATGTAAATGAGGGTAGAGACATAAGTACAGACAGGAAGACTGAGAGCTGAGAGAACGTGATAGGGTAGAAGAGACAGGGAGGGAAGCCATCCACTCAGCAAATACCCACATGCCCTGTGCCACGTTCTAGGGACACTGTGGGAAATAGTACAGCAAGGTCCCTGCTTGCAGGAAGCTCTCATTCTTAAGAGCAAGACAGACATTAAGTAAATAAGCAAACAAATGTAATTCCAGATAATGATAAGTGCTGTCAAGAAAACTAAGCAGGGCAAGAGAACCTGGGGATCCTTTACATGAGAGGGCAGGCCCCTCGAGGGTGTGACATTTGAGCCAAGACCTGAAGTGCAGGGAAGAGTCAGCCCTGCAAAGATTTGAGAGAGGAGTACTCCTGGAAGAGGGGGTGGCAAATGCAGTGATCTGGGGTAGGAAAAAGATGTGTGAGGGACAGAGAGGAGGCCAGTGTGACTGAAGTAGGGTGAGTGACAGAGCAAGTCAAGATCATCTCCAAGGTCCCAGAAAGAACTCTGGCTTTCATTTGGGTGAGGTAGGGGCCACGAGAAGGTCTGGAGCAGGGCTGTCGTGTACTCTGACTTAAGTCTTTTACAAATTCCCTCTGGCCACTAAGAGCAGACTGGAGGTGGCAGGCATGGAGGCCAGGACAACTGTTCAGGTGACACTTGGTGGGGCCTAGATGAGGGTGGCAGAGAGTCCCATGGCTGGGGCGTTACCCCTCCGTACACCAGAGGTCAGTCTCCTTGGAGTCTGGGAATGGCAGTGCCGAGGGTGGGGGCCTGGGGAAGGCTTGGCCAGGCCAGGAAGAATGGAGTGTTCAGGAGTTGGGACCCCCAAGCTTTCTGGCCCTAAGCAGTTCATTAGCCTGGGCCATGGGACTGCACACAGCATGACCGAGGGCCTGTTCCTGCTCAGAGAGAAGGCTGGGTCTGTGCCTGGCTGCCCTCGCTGCCTTGCTGTGCAATCACTGGCCCGTGTCTGCCCTCTCTGGGCCTTGTCTCCAAATCCACACCATCGGGGGAGCCCTCGAGCCTTGGCCGGTCCTACCTTCACAAACTCTTAAGCGGCTGGGGTCCGGGGCTGGGTCTGACAGCCCTGGATCCCTGCCCAGCTGTGCTTCTTCTTAGCTGTGTGACCTCACCTCTCTGAGCCTCAGTGTCCTCATCTGTGAAATGAGGATGGGAATAATAATGTCCCCTCGGGGGTGGCTGTGAGGGTTCAAGGAGCTGAGCTTTGAAAGTGCAGCATGGTATGCTTATTGCTGTCAGTAGTCCAGAGTGGAGAAGCAGCTTGTGTGAGGTCACACAGCAAGATGACAAGAACCATGAAGGTACCTGAGCACTTCATGTTCATTATCTCACAGATTCCTTGCAACCCTTTGAAACTGGAATTATCACCCTCCTGTGGTAAATCAGGAAACAGGTTCAGGGAGCAGGTGACTTGTCCTGGGTCCCTAGTATCAGTAACAAGACTGGGACCCAAACCCAGGTCTCTGGTTCCCATCCTCGGGGCCCCTTTGTCTAGCGCACTGATGTGGGCCCTCAGGATCCACTGCCTAGGTCGTGCAATGCCAGGCCCCGTGACTGCTCCCCAGGCACAGGACAGCCAGTGAGACACACACAGGCAGCTTTGAGAACAAAGACTGAACAGAAGCACAGTGTAGACCACTCAGCAGGGGTTGGGACTGGACGTCTGTCCTCCTGGGCAGGAGCTGGGGCTCCCTCGAGCACACTGACCTGCTTGCCCACCTCACCTGGCTGATGCAGCTGGAGTCGTTGAGACTGTCGCTGACGGGGTTGTAGTCTTCCTCCCAGCTCGGACACTTGGAGGGCAGCAGCATATCCACAGAATCCAGGCGATCCAGACTCCTGGTGGGGGTGGGGAGCAGACAGGGCTCAGCCCACCCATTGTTCAGCTTGGGAAACTGAGGCTCAGAGGGAAAAGACTAGCCAAGGTCATTCAGTGGCAGAGGGAAAAATGGAAGTCACTGCTAGTCTGATGGTTTTGATGGTCGTGGTGGGGCAATGAGCAAGGGGAGGGCACCCAGTTTTTGGAGGCCTTGTGAGGCTGGAGAGCGCAGGCAGCCCTCGCCTGTTATATCCGCTGCAGCCGTGAGGTGGCAGCACAAGCTTGCTTTTGAACGGCTCAAACAGGAATGGCCCACACCAGCTCAATTCTACAGCCCCTCCCCTGCAGGTCTAGGGCAATTCCGGAGCTGGACAGAGGAGGTGGGGACAATCAAGATCCACAGCAATGACTGACCTCAGACTAGGCTGCCCAAAGGGCATCAGTTTCGACATGATGTCAGGCGGCCTCCACCAGGCCACTGAAGGCTTACCAATTATACCCCTGGTCCCAGCTCTTCAATCTTTCTCACATCTACCTGACCCTGGGCCTCACCACCCTCCAGCCCCTGCACTCCCTGACCCCCACTGCTCTGGGGATAAGGTCCAAGCAGCCAACAGCTCAGGCTCTTTATATAGATGGGCTTGGACTGGAGTCCAGTTTCCTTGCTGCGTGACCCTGGGCAAGTTACCACCCTTGTTTAAATGTCAGTTTCCTCACCTGTTAAGTGGGAATGACACTGTGCATACCTACTGGGGCTGTGACAAGAAGGATTCAGTGATGCAGATTAAAGTGCACTGGGGCAGTAGACCCCAGAGTACAGCAAGAGCTAACAGAAGGCACTTGTCGCTATTGCTATTATTATTGATCTCTTCTTATTCAAGGCGTGTGCCTCAGTCCAGACCACCTCTCCAATGGTAATGCCCACTGGTCATTCATAGAATCGTAGGATCTCAAGCCTGAAAGAGGTCTTAGAAGTCGTCCAGCTCAGCCCCCTCACTTCAAGGTGGGAAAACTGAGGCTCAGAGAGGGACTGACCTGGGACTGGCCAGTGGTGCCCTGAATTTTCCCTGCAGGCCAGTCCCTGACTTCTGCTCCAGCCAGAGAGACTCCTGGCTTCTCCCTGACCTGCATCAGTCCTGTGTCACCTGACCTGCTTTGTTCCTCTGTCTCAGTCCTCCCAAATTACCTCCTCCATGAAGCCTTGGTGCATGCCCGCAGTAGCTGGAGAACTAGGACTAAGCTTGTTTTCATTAGTTCTTCTGAGTCTTTCTTTTGTTTGTTTCTGACTTGCTTTTGTTTTTCTTCCTCAGTGGACTCTGAATCCCCTACACCAAGTTTGACCTGTTTTGTACTCATTTGCTAGACTTTCTGTGACTTGCCTCTCATTCCTTTCTGTTCTGATCCCCACGGTGACTTCTGCATGTGAAAGCCTCACCTCTCTCTCTAACATTTCAATAGCTTCTTTCTGTGTGCATGTATTCCATTCATTCATACTTTCACAGACTCTTCCAAGTCTTAGAGCAACAGGGTACGGCTTGACTAGTGGAATTCCAGGCAGAGTGATGGGACATGCAAAGGCTGTCTATCTCCCTTTGACTTGAGGATTCTCTGTCCTCCCCAGTCTTGGAGCTCACCACAGGAATCAATTACAGGGACACGTGCAGAAGGGCCTGTGACCTTTCCCAGCAGTGCTGGCATCGGTGGTGGGCTTGCTTCTCCTACCCTGAAGGAGAGCGCCCCCTGGAGCAGTTTCCCCGTGAGAGTAGAACTCACCTGGGGCTGTGACTCCTATGGAAAAGGTTTACCTGGTCAGTCATTGTAGAGGCTCTCCTTCTGGTTTACCATAGGATGAGGCTCACCTGTGGTCAGGACTTAACTGGGGGAGGCCTATGGGGTGGTTCACCAAATGAAGGGGCTCTCCAAAGTCAACTCAATCACAGTGCAAGGGCCAACCTAAGGATGATGATTTCAGGAAGAGGGCTAACCTGAAGAGGGAATCACCTAGGAGGCCTGGATCATTGTGGGCTTGGCTTCACCTGGATCTGAGGCAAAAGTTATCTGTGGGGCTGGGCTCTCTGGGGACAGCCAAAAGGGAGGAAGGAGAGGGTTCCAGGGATGGGACATAACTGTGAGGGACTCACCTAGGGGGCAAGTCTTGCTTGTGAGCTTGTACAGAGCAAGAAGAATCTTCCCCAGGGTAAAGCACCTGTTGGGGCGGGACTCACCTGAAGGGGCGGAGCTCCAGTGGAACTAGGTTAACCGGTGGGCGGGGCTCCCACGGGGGTGGGGCTCACTTTAAGGGAGAGGTGCACTTAGGAAGCAGAACTCACAAGTGCCTGGGGCTTCTGGTAGTTGGGGCTTGCGCGGACAGGGCTCAGGTGTCAACTGAGACCTCCAGGGTAGGCCTGGACCTCCCTACAGGTTCTCCTAGGGGCGGGGCTTCGGGGGCAGGGCTTGCCTGGGGGCGGGGCCCTAGGGAAAGGGACTGCAAGCTCACCTGCGGGGGTTACTCTGCTCTCCCAGCGACTGCTGCGTGGCCCTCAGGTAGCTCTGGCGCCGCGCCGCCGTCTTAGGTGAGGGCTTGGGGCTGCCGCCAGACTCGTCGCTGTCCTCGTCGCCCATGGCCTTGATGTAGCTGCCGCTGCGCATGCGTCTGCACGGGATGTGGCCCTCCGCTGTGGTGTCCGCTTCACGCGGGGACAGCAGTGCAGTGCTCCACTCGCCGCCACCGCCGGGTACCTGGGGATGGGTGCAAAGGCCTCAGCACACTTGGAGAGAACCACCAGCCACTCAGCCTCGTCTCCTCACCAGGGTCAGAGCTCCGGCCCTGGAGCTGTCTTGCTGCTCATCTAAGAGAGATCGGCCTTTGGCGTTGGATACTGCCCTTGAAGCTACCCAGCAGCCAGGCAGAGCCCGGGGCTGGGAAGGATATCTGGGCTCCAGAGCCAGCTCTGCCACAGCTTCACTATGGGCCTGAAGCAAGTCCCTGCCCACTTCAGACCTAAGATTCCCAGGCTGCGTGCCCCAGCAGAATCACCCAAGGCTGTCTGATCACAAGGGCCTCCGTTGCAGCTGCCTTTCTGAGTAGCCATTGTGTACCCTTCATTTCCCCTGCTCTCTCAGGGGACGGCTGATAATGCCACTACACGGATGAGAACAGCTGGCCTGAGGGAGGCCCCCAGACCTGACACCAAGAACCTGGCCCTGGGTGGGGGAAGATGGGTCAGAGGACCCTGCACATCAGTATGGGGGTGGGGTCCTCCAAGCCAATTACAGTCCCACATCCCACTGGTCAGTAAACTGAAGTAGCAGGGAGCTGGCTTTCAGGGTGGTGCAGCCACTCAGTAAGCTGGAAAAAGGGCTCAGTTTTCCCATCTGAACCTTAGGGACCCTACCCTGCCTGTGAAGGGGGGTTGTGATAAGGGCAAGTGAGATCACAGCTGTGGGGGCAGCTCTGATCCCTAGTGGTTACAGTGGCAGTAACCAGCAGAGGGGGCCTCCTCTGTCTTTCCAAGGCCAAGCTCTGCCAGCTGCTCCAGGGCAGCGCCCACAGCCTACACCCCTCGTCCGTCTAATTCACACAGACATGTACACGCACTGGACGTTTACCTCACAATGAATGAGTACGCACATCTCAGCACTTCAGCACTTCATCACCTCAGCCCCAGCACAGAGTAAAGAGGCCTCGTCATGTGTTCATATCTGAGAACAAGCATACTTTCCCATACACATCCATCTCTCCAGGGATGTATCCCAGCAGCCACTACATTGTGTGTATACCTTTCAACGTGCACACAACATAAACACACAACATATTCACACACCTCACACACATGCTAGCCAGCACTGCTCCGTGGACATATCTCAACATGTGCCCAGCTCACCGTGTATATTTCTGCTCAACACATGCAGAGGGAGCATCCTCACTATGTCTCTACTTCATTGTGGATGCCCCGTTTCTCAGTGTACACAACGTACCCATTCTTCTTCACCAGGTGCACAAATGCATACTCCCCAAATCACAATGGCTGCACAGTTACGACATTCTTCTTGGTGCCTGCATTACCAGTGGCCAGTTTCTAGCTAAGGGAGGGTTCCTGTCTGGGACTCCCACCCTAGGGGCTCTCCTCAGCCTTCCCAACCCCCCTTCCCCAACTGACTGCCCAGCCAGTCAGGAAAGTCTGCATATTTTACCCTCCAAACCATTTGCTAGGCCAGCCTCCCTACCTCTGCTTGTCCCTTGGGAAGGCAGTCTTGCATATTTCTGCTCAATACCTGCTGCAACCTCAGCCTCCCCCCCCCCCCCCCCGCCCTCGCCTCCCATCATGCAAACAGCACAACCTCGGGGCCTGTGGGGCCGTCCTTTCCCGGCATTTCTAAAGCATTTTCACTCAGGCCAACCATACCATTTTGAGAGGAAGCCAGGTCACACAACATTCTTATATTTCTAAACTAGGAAGTGGATTGAGAGCCATAAAAACCTTAAATATATAAAATACTGCCTAGATTTCATATTCCCCTTATTTAAAAAAATAGCCTTTCCCCTTCATCTCACTGCCTCTGGAATTTTACATAGAATGACAAGAACTCAGGTCTTTGTCAGACTTTGATGTTCATCTGGTTCAAAATTGCATCTAATGTGTTCCCGAAGGCTGGCCAGGCCTGCACTGGCATCGCCCCCAGGTATGCCAGCTCACCACCTGCAGAAGCGGCCCCTTCCGCTTTGACGAGTACTAGAATCTGCTTCCTGGAACTTCCGCCCACCTCTTGGGCTCTGTCACTGCCCCTGCCCTTGAGAAACCTGGGGGATGAGAAGCAGCCGAGATGGCTGAGCTTTCTGCCATTTTCCTTGAGTGTGATTTTGGGGCATAATAAGTGCCTCAATAAACATTAGCATTTGAAAGAATAAAGCCAGCCCCCCAAACTGGGGTAGGGCCCCTGCACTCCTGCAGCCTCCCTGCTTATCTCCAGAACACTCTGCTCACACGGACGTGACTGTCTGTTCCTGTCTTTCTCTCCCAGCATCCCGATAATCGGGGCTATGTCTTATTTATCTCCAGCTCTGTTCATTGAAGTGTCCATCCGTTCCTCTACCCCTTCTCCTCTCCTATTTCCCGGGCACTTCCTCTATGCCCAACCCTGTCTTGGGCCTTGGGGACACAGCTGCGCCAGCTACGGTCCCGGTCCGCAAGGAGCCTGCAGTCTGGTGGGGGTAGCACGCAGGAGGCTGGCAATTAGAATGCTATGCAATTGGTGCTATGAGGTGGGTAGATGGCACAGCTTCCAGATTTGTCTCCTAAAGGGCTGGGACATGTCTTGGTCTCTCCTCAGGGCTGGTCTCAGAAGGGTCCCACCAATGTCTGCCGAGAGCATGACTGGTGGAAGGAATCCCCTTATGAGCAGGTGCCACCAGTCACCCATTTCCTAGGCGAGTAAACAGAGGCCTGAGTGAAGCAACTTTCCAAGTGAATCTGTGGCACAGGTCTCACAATTGTGCCTTCCTCATGGCCCTCACCCCAACCTGCCCCTGGAAGGGACCCACCTGCAGATAGTGGTAGGCTAGGCCCTGGTGGCAGGATTTGGATTTTAGCAGGCTCTTATCCAAGGTGGCTGAGGTCTTCTGACAGACCTCGTGGGCGTGGCTGAGGGTCAGAGTGGACCAGGAGCCCCGCTTGACATAGTTGGTGTCGGTGCCCACCCCAAGGCTGGGGCAGGAGGCCGGGGGTGCAGGCGGGGGTGGCGGGGCAGTCAGCTCAGTCGTATTGTTCTTGGCGGCTTTGAGCATGTGCCCACTGATGGTGTTGTAGGCGTGCATGAAGTAACGTGGCTGGCTGCGTTCTGCCTGGCGGCCCAGTGTCATCAGCCCGGAGGCGGGTCCACTGCTGCGAAAGGCACCCCCTTCGCCGTCCAAGTTGTCATCAGAGCTCCACCAGCCCGAGATGTTGGAGCGGCTGCGCCGTTTGGGCTCCCCAGCCTTGGCCCGCTCCTTGCTTTTGGCCCTCCGGCCTTTGCTGTCCTCCAAGCTACCTTTCTTGCTGCCATTGGCACCGATTTTGCCTGCTGTGCCCTCCAGTGAGGGTGCCTTGGTGAAGAAAAGCCTCTGGACTGAGTGGACAAGGTGGCGGATGCGACCAGGACTCTCACCACGGGCCTTGGCCTCACCGCGGGGGAACTGGAGAGTGCTGAAGCCATCGCGGTGGATGGGCAGCTGCTTCTCAAACTGGTCCAGGAGGTTGGCAGGCAGCCGGTTGATCTTGGTGGCCTGGGCATGGCTGGGGAAGGGGCTCTCCTCTGGCACCTCAAAGTGGGAGTTATAGTGGATGCGGGGGAAGGTACTGCTCGGTGGTGGCAGCTGGTTGTTGAGTGGGAAGAGACCATCCCCTGGAAGGGCATTCTGCCCAGGGAAGCGAGCCTCGCGGGCAAAGGCCTCTGTGGGTGAAAGCAGGTAGGGGTTGCGGTCAGGCCCTGTGAACAGGGGCTCGTGTGGTGGGTCCAGGCTGTCGGAGAGGTGGCGGGGGCGGCTGTCACCGAGGCCTTTCATGATCCCGGCCCTTGGGGCAGGGGCCGTCGCCCTAGCGGGGTGCCCGGGTCACCTCTCCCGGGCAGCAGCTGTCCTGGGGAGAGAAGACAGAAAGGAGTCAGCTGGATTTGGAGGAGACAGGGTGCTGGGAAGGTCGGCCAGACCCCCACACATGGCAGGGTTAGGAGGGTTTCTGAAGAGTCCTGGCCTGCCCTTAACATTGCAGGGCGGAGGACAAGACTACGAGTGGAGGCCCACATACCATGTGTATGAATAAAAGTTACAACTCAGGATAGTCAATTGTTAAATAAAATAATGTTCTGCTCTCCTACCTTGATGAATTATCTTCATGAGGTCTGAACTCAGAAGGCTTCTTGGTCTCCTCCGAATTCCATGGTGGAACGTGGTAGCGGGGAGCTGCCTGCCTTCCTTTTGCCTCCCATCTCTAACTCTGTCCCTCACCATGAGAAGTCACACACGTGTGCACCCCAAGCTCACTCCACATACCCCTCAACAGCCACCCCTCAGGCCTGGGGATGGTCCAACTGGCAAGGCAGGTGACCCATGGGAAAATCCCATGCTGGTCCTAGAATTAAGGACAGGGAATTCCAGGGTCCCTAGTATCCAGCGTGTGGTCTAATTCGGGGATGCAGACTCCTGGTGGGCGTGTCCACCTGGCCCCTGAACACCCCTTGCTTCCTGGGGAAGAGCACAGTTGAAAGAGCAGGGTCTAGGGCAGGGGACCCTTTTTACTGGGGTCTGAGGGCAGTACTGCCCAACTCTTTATTTTAGCGAGGAATCCTCATGTCAAATGTAAACCCTCTGTAAAAACCTGCTCTACCGTCAACAAGAGTCTACGGAGTGTGGCCTCTGGGCTAAGACGCTGGGGGCTGCAGACATCAGAGAGGCTGACAAGCCCACTAGCCCATCATGTCCAACTGAGATGAATCAATGACGGCCAGCTGGGAACAGGATTTTCAGGATTGACACAGGAGCACATGTATCAGGACTGAGTGGAAAGGGCAAGGCCTCAGGAGAGGATGGTATTTAAGTGGAACCACTGTACCTCAGTTTCTCCATCTGTAAAATGGGGGCAGCAGAGTCTTCTGGCCAGGACCATCCTGGAAATGCCAGTCTCACACTTAGACGAAAGTCCCTTTCCTTTCTGGGTCTCAGTCTTCCCATCTCTACCATGGAGCAGAGGGGAGGTCAGTGAGGTTTCTAAGCCCTAGATCCCACTGGCCCTGCTTGGAGGAGTCTCAAGGCTTGGTCTGGCTTGGAACAGGGCAAATGATGGCAAGGGCAGTGCAGGGAGAGCTCTCAGAGGGACTGGGCCACATCAGAGTGGATGGCTCTGGCTGAAGCCAAGTGTGGTAGGCAGGACACTGTCTCTGAAGGTGCTCCTGTTCTAATCCCCAGAACCTGTGACAGTGTTACACGTCAAGAGGGACTCTGCAGATAGGATTACGGATCTTGAGATGGGCAGATTATCCTGGATTATCTGGAAGGGTACAACCTAATCACTTGGCTCCTTATAGGTGGGAGACGTGAGGGTTGGAGTCAGAAGGGGATGTGGTCACAGACGCAGAGGACAGAGTGAGGCAGGGCCAGGAGCCAAGGAGTGCCGGCAGCCTTTAGAACCTGGAAGAGGTGAGGAGTCAGGTTCTTCCCTAGAGCCTCCAGAAGGAACAAGCCTCATGACTCATCTTGGACTTCTGACCTCTAAAACTGTAAAATAATAACGTCGTGTTCTTTTAAGCCACTAAGTTTGTGCTAATTGGTTATAGCAGCAATAGGAAACCAACACATCAAGCATGGGTTTGGGTGTCCCAGACTCCTTCCCACCTCTCAGAGCAGCTTTTGGGGCAAATCCCAGACCCCCAAAAGCATGGCATGAAGGGCACTGGCTTAGGTGAAGCCCCATCTTACAGATGGTGAACCCGAGGCTCCCAACAGGGAAGAGCTTCCCCAAGATCACAGAGCAGGTCCAGTGGATGGGGCAGGACTGGGGCCTTCACTCTTCCTATTCCTCCATGTAGCTGCTTCACAACTGTCGCCCCAACCTGGCCGGTCCCAAGACTCTCAAGGACCTGACACTTATTTCCTTGGATCCAGCCAATTTCACGACTCACAGTGTGCTAGGCCCTCCCCCGAGGCTGCTGTAGAGTCTACATGTATCGAATTTGTCCCCTTCTCTGCCAGACTCTCTGTGACTCTAGGAGCCTGATGGACCCCGCTCCTGGAGACCAGAGCATGTGGGTGGCGGTCCTTGTGGCTGAGCAGCACCCCCCGGAATCATTTCTGCTTCTACCAGGAGGCTTGTCACAATATTTATCCCCAGCCTGGAGAGGAAGTCTGCTTTATAGCTTCATTAGACCATATCCTCACAACAGCCCCATGAGGTGGGGGACTCTTATCTTCATTTTACAGATGGGGAAACTGAGGCTGGGAGAGGGCGTTGTAGTCAAGGTGAAATAGGTAACGCAGACAATCGGACCCCCCTCCACTCCAGCCAGCAGCCGCTCCCTCCAAGCAAACATCTTCTTGAAGACGATTTCAGGAAAACGCAAAACCATCCCCAGAATCGCTAGCCCCCCAGCCGTTTCTTAGCCTCCTCGCATCCCCTGGGGCTGTAGTGACCTCTGGACTCAGGGGCCAGCCTCTTGGCCCTCCTGGCAGAGAACTGTGTACACAGCAATATGTCCTTGATGCCACTCAAGAAAGCCCGGTGATACTGAAAATAGAACGTTGTTTGCACATACGGCCCCACAAGCTAGGCAAGGCCTGACTCCCTAGAAGTGCCGTGTGGTGGAGAGGGCGGTGGGATGCCCCCGAAGTGCACACTACACTCGGCTCTCCCAGGCCTCCCAGGGGGGAGTGGGCTTCGCTTTGACATCACAGGTATTCCTGACCCCAGGAAGCCAGCTTTGCTCTACGAGCACTGTGTGAGCCTGGGCCCGTGGCCACCTCCCGCAGCCTCAGACTGTGGGTTGCCAAATGGGGCCAGGAGGAGGAAGTGAGGGAAGGTGCTCGGGGACTGTTAAGGGCTGCCATGTGCTGTTCCCGGGGGGACAATCCCTGCCTTGAGTCCTGGTGGACTTGATTGGGGAGGACCCTTGCCTGGCTTGTCGGGGAAGGAGTTACACAGGTACCTGCCTTGGAGGGTTACAGGAGTGGGGGCTTCCACCCTCAGGGAGACCTCCAGAGACTAGCTAGATACTTTAATGACCGCAAGTGACCTCTCAATTGTTTCCCGCCTGTGACAGGGCCCTCATTGTTAAAATAATCTCTTCCTCTGGCTTTTGGGGCCCTGCATATCTATCCTTCTATGCCACCTTAAATGCCGGTGTATACCAGGACTTTGGGCAGGCCCACAGTGTCCCCACACTAGTAAAATGTTTCAGTGTCACTCCGTGGGGGCACAAGCCAGACACCTGGGCATCTATCTTCTTGAATTCATTCCTCTCCTAAACTTCCATGTCCTTCCCCTAGTAACAGCCCCAACTGTGCCTGGCAAATGATTCTACAACAGTCTCATATCCTGTGGTTTAGGTGGAGCCAGCCCTATCCCAGAACCCCAGGGTAGACACATGACCTAGGCCCAGCCAATCAGAGCCCTGCATTCCTGAGTACAGACTGGCTCAGAGATGGAAACCAGATCCTCACTAGCTAATGAGAATTGGCCTTGGGATTATGGCTGAACTTTTGGAAAAGAGGTGCCCTCCTTTCTGTTAGGGCTGCTGTGCTTGGTAGAGTGTCACCCTGGAGTCCTTGGTTAAGATCTTGCCTGATGTCTCAGATATGAGAGTCAAGAGACATTCTGCTCGAGTCTGAATTGGGTTTCTGTGTCTTTCAATACGAACCTGACAGATACTAGCCTCATGTCCTTTTGGTCACCACAGCAGTGGCTGTGGGTGGCTCACCCATATCTCCTGTGGTCTCATCGCTGTGGTGTCCGACAGGCTGACTGCCAGCTGTCAGCATCTGCATCTCTCTGGGGGCCTGGGGGCGCTTCCTCCTGCAGCTGGGGCCCACTCTGCTCACAGATGGCCAAGGCCTGCACAAACTGCCAGAGAATGAAGAATCTCCCACCCGACTGCTGTCGCGACCAGTGACTTTTGGGGAGTTGGTGTATAAATACCCAGCTCCTCCACCCCTCAGGTGGGATGACTGAGGGATGGGGTCTACGCTGACTCGTGGAGCGGCCTGTCAGGACGGAGCTCCTGTTGCCCAGAGTGGTCACTTGCTTGATAATGCTCCTTCCACTGGCTGCCACCCCTTCCCTGCCTTAGATCCCCCTCCCACACTGTGCTGCCTGCTCCCGAATGAAGTACTTGTACCTGAATCCTTGTCTTGGCCATGCTTCTGGGGAACCCCAACTAAGATGGCCACTGAGTCACAGTGATTCTGCCTCGGTTATGTTTCCTGATGGCATCCCCTCCCTGTATCCTCTGGCTCTGTCGCTCCCTCCCCTCACCTGGGCAGTGGGGGCCCAGGACACTCCTTTTCTTTAACACTTTGTTCACCCTTTTGAGTGGGAAACTTAATTCATTTACTGTCTGATGTTCTTATATCTAATAAATGTGTCATTGGAAAGGTGATACATTTCTCTGAGTACTCATTTGGCTGCATTGCATAGATTTTATTTCCCCACAGGTTTTCCTCCCTTAAAAAAGAATTGAGGAGAAATTCACATAATATTAACTATTTTAAAATGTGTAATTCAGTGACATTTTAGTACATTAACAATGCAGTGTAACCACTACCTCTACCTAGTTCCAAAACATTTTCTTAACCCCCAAAGAGAATGCTGTGCCCAATAAGCAGCTACTTCCTGTTCCCTCCTCCTTCCAGCCCCTGGCAACCACCAATCTGCTTTCTGTTTCTATGGACTTACCTATTTGCCATGGGTCTTATTTTTATTGTGGAGATATATATATATATATATGTACATATACATATATATATATCATAAAAATTCCCACTGTAACCATTTGTAAGTGTGTAGTTCAGCAGTATTAATCACTTTCACAATGTTGTACAACTACCACTATTATCAATGTTCAAAATTTGTTTATCAGCCCAAAGAAAAAC